AGTGAGAATTGAGCATTAAGATCTTTGATCAAAGTGTGGATAAAAGTTGTGTTCCCTCCAGTTATCAAGATATCATCGACATATATAAGAAGATATGTCTTTTGATCACCTTCTTGAAAAGTAAACAAGTTGGAATCTGCCATTGAATTCCGAAAACCTTTACTAAGTAAAGCTTGCTTTAACTTGTCAAACCAAACCCTAGGTGCTTGTTTAAGACCACACAAGACCTTTTCTAACTTATAGACAAAACTAGGATACTCAGGATGCTCAAAACATTTAGGTTGTTGCATGAATACAGTTTCATTTAGAGTTCCATTCAAAAAACCATTATTGATGTCTATTTGCTGAATATCCCACCGATTTGTGATAGCCAGTGTAACAACTATCCTAATGGTGGAAGGTTTAATAACGAGGCTGAATGTTTCAAAATAATCAAGCCCTAGAGTTTGCTGAAACCCTTTAGCAACCAACCTAGCCTTGTGCTTTTGTAGAGATCTATCTTGATTATACTTAACTCTAAACACCCATTTATTGCCTACAATGTTCATATCACTAGTAGAAGGCACTAAAGACCAGGTTTTGTTCTTAAGTAAGGCTGTAAATTTATTGTTCATTGCTTCTTGCCATTCAAGACTTTGTAATGCCTCTTTAACAGAGCATGGTTCAGGAACAACAGCAAAGGTAAAGGAAGATATTAAGCCAATTTTTGGTGGAGGAAGACTCTGGGATTTGGTTCTTGTTGTCGTTGGATGGATATTGTGACTGACTAATGGAGGGGCAACATTAGACTGTGACGGATCAATAACTGATACCATGTTAGAATTTGAGATGGGTTTGACTCCTCACCCAATAAGGCCTTATTGAATGGGAGGATTACCCCCTCTTATAACCCAATAAGCTTGAGCGTGCCTATATAGTCGATGTAGGACTCCAACACTCTTCCTCACGGTCAAGCCCATATGTTGGGTCATGCCTGTTATTGGAGGTAGTTGCTGACTCTAACTCCTCATCTGCTGGTCAAGCGCTCAGCTCAACTGAACCTAACTCTGATACCAAGTGAAAATCGTAAATTAAGAGAAAAACTAAAAGAAATTAAAGCTTCAATTGGTGTATTTGATTGAATGAATTAATAATATAGTAAGGGTTTGCTACTTAAGTGTGTCAGTAGCTAAGAGAGTGTGAAGAGAAAAGGAAAGTGAAAAATACAGACATTCATTCTCTTTAAGAGAGAAACACAAAACGACAGCGTTTTTGTTTTTGCTTAGTTAAATATTTGCTATGCCCTTAACTTTTGAATTCTGACACTTTAATCCACAAAGACATACTAATATTAATTTCTGACACTGTTGGATTTATTTCCTACAATTGAAATGATATTTTATAATTCAAATCTAATATATATATTCAAGATCTTGACAAATAATATATCTTAAAGTAATAATAGAATTTCTTCTTTTTATATGGCAATCGCAATCCAGTTCCAGAAATATGTGTTACTAGAAAAAGGAAAAAAAGAAATTTAAAAGGAGAAGAATTTTATCTTTTTTAATGGCCTACATTAGATAAGCTTTTTAAATATAGAAAGTAAGCACTTACCTTATTAATTTCGAAATTGACTTAAAGTCTAAAATTTTGTTTATTTTAATTAAGAGAGGTGTCTATAGAATTGTTTTGTAATGTGACCTTTATCACGAGAATTGGATCTTTATTTATAAATCGATTTATTTTATATATCAACCTCGTTAAATATTTGGTAAACATTGAAAGACAAATATTCAATCAAATTTTTATATTGAAAACAGTAAAATTTCGTCTTTTTAGTATTTACCACCATTACTAAACGAGAACTTAGGTTTAAAATTTTGAATATCCTCGCCTTATAATTTTTTGTTGTGTTTGTTTATTTCCTGTTTTAGTTGACGGTACATGAACTGTGAATCAAAATGTCAGATAACAAAGAACCAAGGGTTTGGTTGACATTCTACCAAAGTGACGTCGTTTTAATTATCACTTAAATGTGTAAGAATTTGTATCTTTTGTAGCAGCTCTGTTTCTTTCTCTTTTAAGGGTTTCAAACACTTTGTAATTTCATTCATTCAATCAGAAAAATTGGAAAGCTTACTCTTTAGATTTCTATTTTTCTTTCAACAAGTTCTCTCGAATTTGCAAAGTTAACTTGAACTAACCTACAATCCCAAACTTTTTTTTTATTTTTTTCCAGGTTTATGGACCCAATAATAAATGGAGATTATCCGCACAGCATGCATTCTCTTGTTGGAAACAGATTGCCAAAATTCTCTGAAGAGGAATCCAAATTGCTTAAAGGATCATTTGATTTTCTCGGTTTAAACTATTATACTGCTCTCTATGCAGCCTATGCTCCTCTGCTTAACTCTGGAAACAAAAGCTACTCGACTGATCCTCGTGTTAATCAATCAAGTAATTAGCACAATTAGATTCAACTTTTTACATCTTAATTAATTTAATTTCCCTAATTAATTAACTCCTTAATTTCTAATTAACGATACTTGGATTGATTGCTTTTTGTAGCTTCACGTAACGGAATCCCAATCGGGCCAAAGGTACACTTCCTTTTCTTCAAGTTAATCAACATTAATTCACACTTTTCTTTGAGAGAACTTACTAGTTTCTTTTTTTTTTTTTTAATAGATATTCAATGCTACTGAATGTTTTCTCTTCAAATAAATTTTATTTTCTTTATATATATAAATGAATTTGGGCCCGTTTGGTACACTTTTTCTAATAGGATTTCTAAAATCTTATTCTAAATAGGATAAGATATGATTCTGATAATGTGTTTGGTATATTATTAAAAAACATTTTCTGAAAATATTTAGTTTACTTTTAACCCTTTACATTTGTTAATTTAGCTAAACACCTTTACAATAAAAGTTTATAAATTAGCAAAAACATCCTCATCCACCCAACTAATTGCTGGCAGCCAACCACCACCATCGGACAGTGGCTGATAATCGTCAGAATGGTGCACGACCAATTGGATCTTTTTTTTTTTTTTTTTTGGGTGTCATTAGGTATTCAGTGACAATTTTTTTACAGTTTTCGATTAAAAATTTTGTTTTTTAGTATTACTAATGATAGTAAACTGTTAGCCAAAGCTATTAAACATAATTGTCGGGTTTTTAAAAAATATAGAGGGTTGCATTAGATTTTAACTATATGTATTTCTCTCTGTTGAGGATAAAAATATATATTCACATATCCTTAATCTTTGACGTTATTGGATTTGATCAATGCAGGCTGCATCCGATTGGCTTTATATCTATCCACGGGGGATTCGGGATCTCTTACTTTATACCAAGAAAAATATACAATAATCCCCTCATTCATCTAACAGAAAATGGTAAATTCACTTATCATGATAATAATTCTTCTTCACGTTAACGTAATAAAAAATAAAAATTGAATTTAAACAGCCATTTAATTCTAACTATTATTGCTCTTATTTGCTTAATTAATTGCAGGAATTGATGAAGCAAACAATGCCACATTATCACTAGAGGAAGCCCTTGTTGACAACATGAGAATTGATTACTATTATCAGCATCTCTCTTTTCTTCAGAGAGCCATTAAGTAAGTGACTCTCTAATCACAATATTAGTGAATAATTAAATAATTTAGTGACTTCTTTTTCTTCTTTAATTGTTTTTTATTTATTGTGGCAGGGATGGAGTGAACGTGAAGGGATATTTTGCTTGGTCATTGTTGGACAATTTTGAGTGGTTTTCAGGTTATACGGTTCCTTTTGGCATCAATTACGTGGATTATAAAAAAGGATTACTAGATACCCAAACTCTCAGCTCGTTCGTTCAAGAATTTCCTCAAAAAATAGAGAGGATATAATTTGATATATTATATGTTTTTTATATATGCAATAATACTATATTTACAAAGAAATCTTACAAAGATTTTCATACAAAGTAAGGTGGCAAAATATGAATGGAAAAGTGAAACAAAATGTTAAACTCATTACATTCACTCTTTCATTCATTTTTTATCACATTACTTTGTATGGAGATTTTTGTAAAATTTATTTATAAGTGTAATATTACTTTTTATGCATGATATTTATACCGAATTGATATTGGACTGTCCCAAGAGTTCCTCAAATTAATAAAATATATGTTATACTTTCTACGGATAGACTAAATTATTGAGTGTTATTTAACATTAATTTGTACATTTGTAAGGGAAAATACACAATAATTAAAACTGTGCTGCAATATATTATGCTAATTTAGTACCTGCCCAATGATCTTAATTTCCATCTTATCATCTTATTTATATATAGTTAATAAGTTTGATCTTGTTTTTGTGCATTGTTTTTTATATCCCTTTCCTCTTTATCTACTTTAGATATCTAACACTGATTATTCGTCAAAGTCTAGGAACTTTTGATCTATTTAAGAAGAGGATTTTTTATTGACACCCTTTGCTTCAGTGAATATATTAGACCCATAAGTTTTTGAAACTGGTACCTTTTTTTTTTCTTTTTTTCTTTTTTTTATAGGTAAATTTAATAAAAAAAATTATACAGAAAAGTAGAAACATATCCCCAGAAGAGGTCTAGAAGACCAGAGCAAATGTGCCTATTTCTAATGTATTCACTTGGCACTTACGTCCTTGTAATTTACATTTGTTAGATTTAACAATAAACAAAGACCGATATAAGAGAATAACTCCAAGTCCTGAGTGTGTCCACTTTATACCAATATAATATTATAAAACATAGTTGTTTATTACATAGCATTAGTTGTTTAATTAATGGTAAGTCTAATTTAAAATGTTTATCATATCCTTTACTCCATCGATTTTAAACAGATGACAAAATGTGTAAGTGGTTATTTTTTAAGTTAGCGGGAGTAAACTGTCAGTTTCTTGAGTTTAAGGGGGTCAGGGTACTTAACCCTCAAATAAACCATCACTAAACTAAATCTAGTCAATGAAAGGAAAGAGAATTTTCTCGGTGAAACATTTTCATGCTTTCTCATGCACACATTTATTACTCCTCTTAGTTTCTCATTGTTACTAGATCTCAACCCTAGATGGAAATGCTATAAGGAACTCCTTTTCCGGTGACACCAGAATCGGAAAACGGCTTCAACAACTCATACGGCGTAATCCCAGCTCCATTTCTGTTCTTCAACTCCTTATTCGCATTCCTCGCATCCACAACTCCCTCAAACTCCGTCAACTTCCCATTAAACTTCTCAAAAGCACTTTTCACGAGCGGATCCTCCTCCCAAGCCGGCTCCGCCAGCTGCCCCAAATACTCCTCGTCCGGAGAGTGATTCGAGAGCACATCCAGCACCGTCATCACCGTCGCCGCTTGAACCTGTGACGGAAAGCATCTCAAAAGCACAACTTCCGGCTTCTCCAATAAGAATTTCCAGCCCTCTTCGGAGTTGTCCTCTGTGGGCATGTTGATTCTTGCAATGGTTGGCCTGTTTGGGAAATAACCTGCGTATGGATACTGCCCGAAGTTTACGGCTGCGTGGTGACCGGAGGCCACCCATGCGATGGTTGTGACGATTTCGATTAAATCTTTCGGGGTTTTGAGCTCAGGCCACCATGGCGCATCCTTTTTATCTCCATGTCCGACGGTTTTTATCTCTTTCCACCATGCTCGGAGCTCTTGATCGGAGGCGACAAGTTTTGGATCAGGGTAATAGTGGTTCACATAATCAGTCACCCATTGTTTCAATGCGTCCCAGAGAACAAGTCCATCATTGGCGTAGGGGTAATCTTCAATTGTGAGCTTTAGGCCATGAGAAGAATTTGGATCTTCAGCAGCCATCCCCCTGGTTAGCCACAAGAGGAGAAAAAAATTAGGGAAATATTCGACGCGGACAAAAGAACATTAAACAACAAAATTTTACAGTTCTCGATGCAAAAAGTTTACCTGTTGATTAGGTCTTGGGGCAGTGCCTCGTGGTCAAAACGCCACACCACGTCGTATACAGCAGAGCTGAGCTCCATGGAGAACTTGCCAGGTGAGAAAGTGCTTTCGATGATCCCACCAGCATTGATTAGCTTTTCTCGAGCTAGGGCATTGATCTCCATTGTGTACCGGAAATGTGGGTGCAATAGTCTATAGATTGGGTGCATCACACTGAGTTGCCGGTTGGTGGCAATTATGTAAGGTTCTGTACAACAATGAGTTCTTAACCTGCATACAGAAGTTAATGTCGTTACAAAACGACTCTGGTTATCAAATGATTGATTGAATTAAGCACAATTTACTTACAATAATTAGGTGGCGTTTGATAATTTTATCTTTTTAACAAACTTTCAAGAGGAAAATCGAGAGAGATGGCACGTACCAATGGCTAATAAGTTGGTGATAGCCAGCATCAATGGCGAGGACTTGAGCTTTAGCCAACCTCCATAGCCAGCAATCTGTGGAGTTCCAACTGGGAGTGTACACTTCTTTCCACTGGGGTTTGCCGTCCATCGGAGGTCGAACGAGCTCGATGGCCAGAGGCCTCAACGTGCCATCTGGGGTTAGGAAAAACACCGTGCGAGATCCATAAAGCGTTGTGTTCTTTAACGTTCTCACTTTCTGAACATATGGTAGCATCAAGTCATGGTAATCTAGAATGAACAGCTTCTTTTGTTTGATGGCCTGTGGAAAAATTAATTAACAACAATTAGTTTTAATTGATAGGGTTAATTAATCTTGTGCAATTTTTCATGTAGAAGAAATGGAAATTTACTGAGTTTTGTTTGTTTGTTGTACCTCATCGACAGTCATGAAGCCTTTGATTTCCTTCTCGAGGATCTCTGTGGTGATTTTTGATTGTGGTGGACCATAAACTGCAGGTTCGAGTGTGCTTTTCAATGGCCACTCCTGCACAATTTTTAAGGCGATTTTTTAAGCTTAATTCTCTGTTAGCATGATTTTAAACATGCTTTATAAAGATTTAATTGATAGTTAATAATAATTTTTTTTTTTTTTTTTTTTTTATGATCAGGGTGTTGAACCAGATAGCGTACACCTCAACTAATCCTCCGAAATCTTAAAACTACAAACTAGAAAAAGGGTTCCAATAACTCAGGGATGGAGGTGAATCAAACTTAGGATCTCTTGAATAATACATCCAAGAGTCCTAGTTGATCAATCGGTTACTCAATGATAGTTAATACCAACTTCATTAAATAGAATCAGTAGTGAATAGTTTACTAATATTAGTGAACACTAAAAACCAAAAATTCAATCAAATTTTTCATATCAAAAACAACAAAATTCTACTTTTACTATTTACTTGGGTAAATAAATAGAAGTTTAGACGTAATTTTGTATACAGATATATAACATACCGTGACCAATTTTATGCATAATGGGTTGAGACCAGCCAGAGTTTGCCGAGCAGACTCCTCATCCCTAAACCAAAAAAACCTATCTCCTGCGAATGGGAAACAAAAAACACAAAAATTATGCATGAGAACTTGAGATTTTTGAATGCCTTATAAGAAAAAGAGAATGAGCAAATTTCTCACTGGTCATGGCTTCAGGGGTCTCGAAACGCAGCACATCTTCACTGCTATCCTCAATGGCCTTCACCAATCTGGGGATGAGTGTTTTCCAGAACCCTTGTTTAGTGAGTGGGGGCAAGTTGATTCCTACGTTGAAGAGGGAGTCTATGGCTGTGAAGTATGGAAACCCTAGATCGGAGTCGACGATCGAAGTTTGGATCGTCGGGATTAAAGCATGCAGGGCGCAGTAGAGAGTTTTGGCTGAAAATGTTAGCTCTTTTATGTCTGAGAAGGCTTCATCTCTGGGTACGTAGATTGTGCTGGTGGCTAATTTCTCAGAATATGGATCTGCAAAGTCATAAAAAATAATTATTATTTTTTTTATTTTGGGAAATCAATCTCTCCATGTCCTTTTTTTTTTTTTTTAAATCTGAATTAAATCATTAAAATCCACTGGAATACAAAACATTTTAGAGTCTTCACACAAGAAATTTCTCTTTAACTTGGGCTTTCCGTAACTTCCTACATTAAGAAACTGGTCCTGATTTTAAAAATGAAAAAATTAACGTAAGGATTAATTAATGCTCCAATATTTTGATTTTAAGTTTTCACTATCCCTAAAAAGTGACTATCTATCATCACAACCCTAATTTTACCTTAAAAGAAAAATGACTTCATGATGCCAATGCTAGCTCCTTACCTTTGTCACACCGACGCCGTCCTGTTCTGCAGCGGCGAGGGTAAGGGTGTTGCTTCCCACTGAGCACCGGTCGAGCCAAATCTTCGCTCTTATCAAGGTTTCCAAGATCATTGTACACATCATAGTCGTAAATTCTCTCGGTGTTCTTGCGCTCTCCTTGTCCGTTGCCTCGTAGATTGACAAGCTCTTCGGCTCTCAGCTTCATCAGTCCATTCGGTGTGTTTGATGGCAAGTATGACTGATCTCACAAAACCAAGAGCTCAATAAGTCAATGATGAAATCGAATTAATTAAATTCGAGTGAAAAGATTATCTTCATGGAGACCAAATATATTATGTTCAGTAATCAAGGACCACTATTGTAATATGTATGACGAATTTTCATAAATGGCCGGTCAAGGACCACTGTTGAGGGTATAATTTGATTTAGAAAATTAAAAATTTGCCAAAAAAATAAATAAATAAAATAAAGTTAAAGGATATTTTTCTTGATGGATTCTGTCTCTCTTGTAATTGTTGTTGTAGGATTGAATAAAAGTATTTCATGTTATTATTATCTGTTGGAAATTCTTTCTCCTATACATGTAAATATCATCATGATTTATTATATAAGTACAATATAAATATTCTAGTTATATATATTTATTAGATTTTATCAAATGGTTAATATTACAAGAACAGCTCATCATATGCTAGTACTTAATTATTTGTAATGTATTTTCTAAATATTGGAAGATAAAGTTAGGCAGATAACGGAAAGGATTCATGTGGAAAAATCATACTTTAATTTTTTTTCCAAGAAATTTATGAAAGAAAAAAGAAAAAAAAACTTTTATCCTTCTTAATTTAAGGTAAACCTTAATACTTGTTTGTAAAATTATCCTTTAATTTTTTTTTCCAAGAAATTTATGAAAGAAAAAAAAAACATTGTTGGTTTAATTCGTTAATTATGATCATCTCAACTTTAAAGCAAAATCATTGAGCAATGAGATATTTCTCCCTTTATTTTTTACTTCAGCTGACGGACCATATGCCCTGCGAGCTTTCTGATGTTATATGCAAATAAAATATAAAGAAAATAACAAATAATAATAATAAAGAAAAAAACATAGGTATAAGTAGATAGCATGATTTTAAAACCCGGACTGGCCCGGCCAGTTTAATCGGTTGGACCAAGACCCGAGGCCTTCTCCGGGTCGGGTTACTTTCAACTGTTTTAAGTTTAAAATCTAGCAAACACACCCCTAATTAATACACAACAGTCCTTAAAGGTTTCAAATCCAGCAAACACACCGTCTAGCCAAATGCAAATCGGTGATGATCTCCCCTTTTCTGACAACTTTCCACCTTCCCTTGCTGTCGGAAACCACCTTCTGACTTTCTCCGGGGTTGTGACGCTTCATCTCCCACCGTCGCGCGATGTTTCGTCATCCAACAATTTTTCTTCGATTTCCTGGCGTCGATTGGCTTTCTCCGACATCGATAGGCCTCCTCAGCCACCGATCTACCTTATCACAAGCTCCCTTGTCGTCGTTCACGAAGATCCAGTCATGCCATTTTTCGGTGATATCTCAACTTGCCAGCTGTCAAGTCGTCCTCACCAATACCCGATCTACCCTCCCTGGTGTGTCGCCGCCGCTCTTCTAGTCAATCATTGATTTGCATTTGGCCAAGAGTTGTATTTACTAGATTTCAAACCTATAGGGCATGATGGTATTTATCATGAGTATGTTTGCTAAATTCTAAACCAATCAAACCATTGATTTGAACCACCGATTTAACCGGTTAACCCATGACCCGGTCGCCTAAACGGGTCATCTCCGGGTCGGGTTTTAAAACCTTAGCAGATAGTAAACTTAATCATAGGACATAGGAATCAGAAATAAACAAAAAAACGTGACACTGACCTTAGCTGTAAAGAAGACTCTCTTCTTCTGCGTCTTATCGGTCTTAGGCTGAACCCATGAGCCACATATTATCTTCACCTTACCGGTATCGAATCCATCAAGAACAATATCCTTTAAGAACATCTCCTTGTGGTGCTCATTCTCCACAAACACCGCTCCAACTTCTCGGAAATCCGTCGGAATCTTGAACTCAGCCTCGTATGTTGCCTCTCCTTTCACCTCCTTCCCTTTGTGTGCAAACGCCTTAATGGTTGGCTTCTCCAATCCAGTCTCTGAATCCACCAGTTAAACGTCTTAATGTGTGCTCGAAGAGCTACAGTTTTGTTATATTAAGAAAAACTCATCTTCAAACGGTTAAAGTATCTATTCATCGACTTTAAAGGTTGAGATCTTAACTTTTAGTTACTTTTTATGTTAAGTCACAACTCTCAACGCCATTAAATTATTAAAAAAGATGAGCAGTTCAAAAACTGTGTCAAAAATTTAAATTACAGTATCTTGACGTGTTGAAAACTAGTTTGTAGTATTGATTCTTTTTTTTCTTTTTAAGCAAGTACTATAAATAGAAAATACAGAAAGGTCATAAAAAAACTAACCATCCTACCTCAAGGACAGGCCTTGGAGCAAATTAATCATATATATTGATTCTTGGAGCAAATTAGTGGAAGTATTGGCTAAGAATGAAGAAATAGTAAAAACAAAATAATATCTGTTCATCGATTTAAAGGGTTAAGGTATTTGACTTAGTTTTTAGTTACTTTTAGGCTAACACGCGTCTCAAACCATTTAATTAGAAAAGATGAACAGTTCAGAAACTGTCAAAAACTTGAAACACAGTATCCATACGACTGTGTTTGAAACTTACTGGGGTCGAGCTCGGCGCTGACGAGCTCCAAGAGGAGAGATTTGCCGAGGGCATCTTGTAAAGTATCCAAACTGCTGTCAATAGAAATGCTAGAAAGCAAACTACTGACGGTTGGAATCACAGTGACAACAGCCTTAACAGCGGTGGTTTTTCGTTCGGTTAAATCAGCTACTGAGGCTTTGATGTTGGAGGGGACGAACCCAACTCGGATTTTGGGAGATTTCTTGAGGGAGAGTCGTGAATGAAGTGGAAGAAAAGCATTGGCGGAGGCGCCATTTCCATGGAGAAATGGCTTGTTGGCCAGTGGGAAGAGGGATTTGGAAGATTGAGATTGGTGAAGTTGAGGCTTCAACATTTGGCCTAGGGATTAATTAAGAGAGATATTTGAGAGAAATGGAGAGAGTTTGATTTTGGTTTGTGGGAAATTTTGTTGAGGCATGGAGTGTTTATATAGAAATTGGATTGAGAGAGAGGGAAAGAGCATGAGTTTCATACGGCAGTAGTGAAATTATGTGATATTAAATGAATGAGGACTAAATAGATAGGTCATGAAATGTACATGCATCTTGTCAAGTGAACAAGAATAATGATAAATTTACAAGGTAAATTTAAACTTTGTATTAAAGTGATATAATATTTGACATTATTGTAGTATTCACTTAAATCACCCCATCATTTTTATTTATTTATTTATTGTGAAAATACTTTAATGAATCAATGTGATTGTAATTGATGAATGCATATTTGAAAGGCTTCACGTGAGTCCGTGACCCACTCTATTATTTAAGTCAATTTCTGTAATTTCATTGGCTACCCACATTCTGCTGCTGCTTCTTCACAATTTCAATCTTATTACTGTATTTCTTCTTTATTTTTAATCACAAAACTTCATAATTGGGTTTTATTATAATTAAAATTTAAAAATTCTAAATTATTATGGCAGTAGATAGAGTTTTTATTTATTTATTTATTTTTTATTTTTTTTTGGGTGAAATTATGTGAACTGTGGCACATGGAAAATGGGAAGTGCTAGATTATTTGAAAAGAACAAATGTACTGTTTTGTTTGGTACTGTAATTTTGTCATATGAAAAATTTTAAATTGAAAATTTTGTGCATGAATAGAACTGTGCAGGGATGGCTGATGTTAATGTACAGTTCAAGAATAGATACTGAATTAATTAGTTTAGAAAAAAGCTCTATTTATGAGAAATATTAAATTAATTAGATCAAAGAGAACCCTATTTATGAAATATTTAGTGGGTACAAGACTTCACTATCTCGTTCTACTGATGTGATAAGACTGTTTAATTAAAATAAGGAAAGTTTATGATTCTAAACTTTCAATTTAGTAACCAACAATTACAAGCCAATAGATATACGACACATAACTTTTCAATTTAGTAATCATCAAGCACATTAGTTGTACAAAGAGAGGAGAGGAAAAAAAAATTAGAGTTGACATAAATAATTCAGGTTGTGGTATGTATGACGTGATATTGTTGTATGTTCTAGACTATTTCATAAAACAAATGACATGTATTGTGACTTTAGTTCAGAAAACCACTTATGATCATCCTTCTTCTGGTCTGTTTGATGAATGGTAGAGGATTATCGATGAATTATGATCAAAGTTTGATGAAAAAGAAAATTATTTTACTAAACGGTCTCACCATATTAGCAAGCGAGTCAATAAGAATATCTCGTATATTTTTTTCTTAAAATTTGTAAATCAATAATATATTTAAGGTGCGTTTGATTTATGGAATGTTGTATTGCTGTAAATGTTATATTAATGGGAAAATATATTATTTTGAAGATTATTGAGAATGTTTAGGGAAATGTGTTTCGTTAGGTTGAAATAAATTGGTGGGTATTTTATATAGATTACCAAATTACCCTCATTTTTTAATAGAATATGATATTATTTTTTGAATCATTTCTTTTAACCCGCTATATTTGTTAATTTAGTGAAACACCCCGATAATAAAAGTTTAAAAATTAACTAAAGCACCCCAACCATCCAAAAGGACAGCCGGCCACCACCATCAGACGGTAGCCGACAATTGTTGGAACGACGCAAAAACCGGTTGGATTTGGTCGGTCGTGCACCGATATGGTTGTTTCCGGTCAAATCCATTGTGGATTTGACCAAAAACAACCAGATCTTTGGTCGTCCAGCACACAACTGACCGAATCGGCCACGTTAGCTGGTGACTGACGGTGGTTGCTGGTGGGCGATGGTGGTTTTAGGTGGCCTGCAATTTGTTTTAAATATAAGGACATTAGAACCCAAAAACTTAATTAATTAGGGGTAAAATTGTAATGACTGGTTCATGTAAATTAATTTCAAAATAAGGGTATTATTGTCCAAATTTTTTTTAATAAGAGGTAAAGTTGTAACAAAAATAACATTACCAAGTAATATTAAAATATCTAAGAAAATAGAGGTAATCAGATTACTACATATATAATTAACAGTAATTACTATTGATTTTAGAAAATTACTGAAATATTATATTATTTGACAACCAAACGTAGTAATATAAGTAATATAAGATGATATTATCCTAATAACGAGAGATAACCCTGCCCCTTATGGTACTAGATATATTTTACTTTATTAAAAGTTTAGGATTTTAGAGTTAATTTGAGGGAGAATTACGTCCCCTCTTTCGAGTCTTATCAGTTAGGAAGTCAAGAATTTGTTAAGTTGTTAGTAAGTTGTTAAGTTTGTTTACAGCAGTTATTAAACTGCCCTGTTTAGGTTGTTAAGAGGTTGTTACTGCCGGTAAATACAGTTATATTTCAGCTGTTTTACTAAGCTGATTGTAGCATATAAAAGCTACACTGTAAAATGTATTCTTTAGAGAAACTTATACTAAATACAAAGTATATTCAGTTTACTCTCCTTTACTTTTCTTTATCGTTTTTTCTTCTCTGTTTTTGTTCTAAACCTAACATGGTATCAGAGCTGCTGACTCGCGTCAAGAATGGTCGATCTCACTCAATTCTCTTCTAATCCAACAAGTTCAGCTCACAAATCAAACACTGATCCAGTCAATTTGTCAAGCTCCACCTCAATGTCTTCATCAACTCTTCCTATCATTTCCCCTAAGTTGACTAGGAATAATTACAACTTTTGGAAGTCACAGATCTTATTTGCTGTCGGATCTCTTGATCTAAAGGAACATCTCACCGGGCTAGTATCGTGTCCAGCTCAGTTCGTCAAGATTCCAGCAGATAGCTTTGATGGTGTTACTGAGAAGAAGCCAAACCCAGAATATAGTCAGTGGAAGAAGACTGACAAACTCCTAGTAAACTGGCTTCTTAGCTCTATCTCTGAATCCATGTTCATAGTTGTCTCAAAGTGTCAGTTCTCTGCTAATATGTGGGTTACATTAGAAAAATAATTTCTTACTGAGTCAAGAACCAAAACGTTGAATGTAAAAAATTTGTTGCAAAATACAAAGAAAGATAATCTTACCATTCATGAATACTTTGTCAAAATGAAAGGATTTGCAGAGATTCTGTCAAATAGTGGAATAGTGGTTACTGATGAAGAGTTACTGAATTACATACTAGATGGTCTGAATACTGAATATGATGCTGCTGTGGTGAACATTACTACTAGATTAGAATCTAGAATAGATCCCCTCACTGTCCAAGAGGCACAAATTATCCTGCAAAAGTATGAACTTAGGTTAGAAAAAGCAAATTTTGCTATGAATTCAGTAGTCAGCACTGAGTTTCATGGAGGCTCAGCTTATCTTGCTACAATTGAAAGAAAGTATCACAATGAACCTCAGTCCCAAATCAGCAATGTACAGCCTAACCTTGGACAAACTCAGTACCAAGGTCCTAATTTCGTACCTCACAATCACATCTCTCAACAACCTATCCCTGATCCTAATTACTTTGTAGCTTCAAATAGTCAGTATTATGCCTCTCAATTTAGTGGTGGCAGAGGAAAAGGCAGAAGAGCTGGAAGGAATAGATTGATATGTCAAGTATGTGGCAAGACTGGACATCTTGCACTAAATTGCTATCACAAGTTTGACACCAATTTCACTGGACGAAACAATGTCTTAGGCAGAAGGAGTTTTGTTCAGAATTATCCCAGGCAACCCTTTCAACAGTCACAATTCTATGGTTACTACTCACCTCAGTCTCCTCATAATTCCAACTTCAGTCCCAATATGAGTGAACAAAATGCACAACCTGGTTTTCCACCATCTTCATACACCAACAACAATCCACTTCTACCAGTTTCTCAACTGCACCACACTCAAATTCAGGACCACCTCAAGTGTACCCTGGTTCTCAATCGTCTGCCTCCAATTCTCACAATCAAGCATTCTTATCACAAACACAATTCCAAAATGGTTATAATTCTTCAGCTCATTGTACTGCCTCACCATCAACTATTCAGGATGCATCCTAGTACATGGACAATGGAGCCACAAATCATGTCACTTCAGATCTGTCTTAGCTAACAATGAACTCTAGCTACAATGGCAATGAGTAGCTTCAGGTTGGCAATGGTGAGTTGCTTCCCATTTCTCACATTGGTTTTACTTCATTTCCATGTCATTCTAGATCACTATTGTTGCGTTCTTTGCTAATCATTGTGTGGTTAAGGACAAACACTCCAAAGCTATTCTTCTTCAAGGAAAGCTTAAAGCTAGCCTTTATCAACTTCAAACACCTGATGTCACTTCTCCACAGTCCAATCTGCATGTTGATCATTCATCTGCTCAGTTCTCTAACTCACTACAATTCACTCAATCTAAAGCTTCATAGTCTTCTAAATCATGTCCTAATAATACCAGTGCATTGTATGCTCCTAAAGCACTTGATATTACTACTGCCTTGTCTGATTCTACTGTTGTCAATAATATGTCTAGTCCTGATGTTAGTACATTGTATACCCATAAAGCACTTGATAGCTCTAATGCTTTCTCTGATTCTGTTGTTGAAAATAATATGTCTAGTTTTGATATTTCCAAGTTTCCTACATTTGTATCCAATTGTAATAATGCTACTAATGCTAATAAAAAAGCATAATTCAATCTTTTCCAGTAGAAAAAACTAATAGCATCCTGTGGCACAAGAGGTTAGGACACCCCAATGCAATTGTTCTTACTAAAATTCTGCATGTTTTACAATCTAACTGTTCTGTCAAAAACACAATTGAATTCTGTCCAGCATGTCAGTTTGGTAAGCTTCACCAATCAGTTTTTCCTCAGTCTAAGTCTAGAGCTTCAGATCCATTAGAATTAGTCTATTCAGATTTGTGGGGACCATCCCCTATTCCATCTCCTGAAGGATTTAAATATTACATACAGTTTCTAGATGACTATAGTAGGTTCACCTGGATTTTTCCATTGAAAGCTAAGTCTGAAACATAATTAGTCTTCCAACA